CTTGGTGGCCCAATACCCAGAGTCTTGAAAACTAAGAAGGGCATTAAGTTGATGCTTGTCCCAATATCACATAAAGCTTTAGGCAAAACTGAAACAATTAATCCCACCATAAAATGCAATATAAGATAATAAGGTATTTGGTTGGTCAAATAAGAAATAATAATTGTCGCTTAACTAATGTAGTATTTTGTTGGCAGCATTAAACGATACTGTATTAAGTTATGCAATGATTTATATATTATTTTATGTGGTTAAGATGTGGAGTAAGAATATTTTAATAGCAACTCAGGAATTGACTATTTAAAAAAAAAAAACCCTTATGGGAAGCAAATTTCTTTGGCGGAAAAATGCGGGAAATTATTTTTGAGTCCCGCAAAATTTATTTTTCAAGAAACCGACCAACTTTGGTCGATTTTTACAATTAAAATAAATAAAAAATAATATTAAAAAAATCGACCAACTTTGGTCGGTAAATTTGGCCGGTCATTTTAAAAAATCGAACAACTTTGGTCGGTAATTTTATTTTTTAATAAAACCGACCAACTTTGGTCGGTTATTTTCGTGCGAAAATACAATTAAAGAGTATAAATAAATAAATAAATAAAAAGACAATCTTAAAACAAAATGCACCAATGGTCTAATGGTAGAATAGTATCCTACCACTGTACACACCCCGGTTCGATTCCTATACGGTGAATCATTTGATTACATAATTAAAATACAGCACGTTCGTAAAAATTAGTATATATATATATATATATATATATATATATATATTGCTAACTCCGAACTCATTACGTTTCACATTAAGGGATCATTTGTTGATGGTATTGAAACAATTAATCCCACCATAAAATGCAATATAAGATAATAAGGTATTTGGTTGGTCAAATAAGAAATAATAATTGTCGCTTAACTAATGTAGTATTTTGTTGGCAGCATTAAACGATACTGTATTAAGTTATGCAATGATTTATATATTATTTTATGTGGTTAAGATGTGGAGTAAGAATATTTTAATAGCAACTCAGGAATTGACTATTTAAAAAAAAAAAAACCCTTATGGGAAGCAAATTTCTTTGGCGGAAAAATGCGGGAAATTATTTTTGAGTCCCGCAAAATTTATTTTTCAAGAAACCGACCAACTTTGGTCGATTTTTACAATTAAAATAAATAAAAAATAATATTAAAAAAATCGACCAACTTTGGTCGGTAAATTTGGCCGGTCATTTTAAAAAATCGAACAACTTTGGTCGGTAATTTTATTTTTTAATAAAACCGACCAACTTTGGTCGGTTATTTTCGTGCGAAAATACAATTAAAGAGTATAAATAAATAAATAAATAAAAAGACAATCTTAAAACAAAATGCACCAATGGTCTAATGGTAGAATAGTATCCTACCACTGTACACACCCCGGTTCGATTCCTATACGGTGAATCATTTGATTACATAATTAAAATACAGACCAACTTTGGTCGGAAAAACCGACCAAGCAATATTTTTTTTGAATTTAATTTACCAACCAACGTTGGTCGGTAATTTCCGACCAACTTTGGTCGGTATATTAAAACGACCATCAAAATACCGTCCAAGCGTATTTGATCGCATTTTGATCGGTAATTGGCCATAACCGACCAAAGTTGGTCGGTTTTTTTGGTCGTTATTTACCGGATTTCTAGTAGTGATAGTCCTTAATAATAGCATCCCGTGCATCTATAACTTATTAAATATTCCCTTTTGCTTACAAGCGATTGATATTTACTCCCTCCGTCTCATATTATCAGTTGTGGTTAATAGTTGTCTTAAATTATTTGTCATTTTAGAAGTACAAGACAAAATTGATTATTTTTTTCCTTTTTCACCCTTAGTAATAATTAGGGGTGACAATTTGAGCCCAAACCCATCCAACCCGCCCAACCCGCCCAGAGATTAATGGGTTGGGCTACAAACGTTTTAGCTCATGGGTCAATTTGGCCTGAGCCCAAGTTAACCCATTATTTTTTATAGCTCATTCTGACCCATTAAGCAGCCCAAATGCAACCCATGAAACTCACCCAAAAGAAAGAGATCTTAACCCAACTTATCTAGAAATTTACTTCTTGCCCCAATTTTACTTTTTTTTTTTTGTATTTTTAATTTTTAATTTTTTTATTTTGTTGCACCACCCACCCACCCTACCCCACTCACCCCCCCAACAAAACCCCTCAAATTTTTTTTTTTTTTGTATTTTCAAATTTTTTGCTTTTTTATTTTTTCTGCACCACCACCCACCCTACCCCTCCCCCCCGGCACAAATCCCCTCAAATTTTTTTTTTCTTTTTTTTTTGTATTTTCAATTTTTTTGTTTTTCTGCACCCCTACACCCTACCCCTCCCCCTTCCGCGCAAACCCCTCAAAATTTTTTTTTTATTTTTTTTTGTATTTTCAATTTTCCGTTTTCTGTTTTTTTCGTTTTTCTGTACTACCCGCCCTCACCCTCACCCTCACCCGCAAAATATTTTTTAATTTACACATTTTAAGGTAAAAGGTTTTTTATGCAAAATGTGCATGGGTCAAGTTGGGCGGGTTGGATTATGACCCATTGTTTAGCCCATCTTGACCCAGCCATCTTAGCCCAAGTACACTTTGGGCTGGGTTGGACAATGACCCATTTATGGACCTAATCCATCTTGACGCGCCCAAATTCAGCCCTACCCGCCCATTTATCACCCCTAGTAATAATTGTTGTTGAAGATGCAGATAACACATAAATAGAATAAATATTCAATGAAGAGATTTTATCTTAAGACATAAATAAGGATAAATAATCTAATTCCTTTTCTAATTAATGTTTCTTAAGAACGTGTAAAAAAGAAACACGACATATAATTTGATAGAGGGAGTACAATACTTACAAACTACTCCTAAAAGATTGTGAGAATTAATCTCTCTCGTCAATTCTTTTTTATTTTTATTCTTGGGTGGGTAGCTTGATGAGATTAATTTGTTCTCTTTCCCAGTTTTCAAACGAAGGATAAACTTCAATCAGTCAAACCAAATACTGAATCTCAAGCCTTTGACAAACTCGAGATTTTAGTCAACAGTCAACTTTAACATTCCAGACTTCTCTTCTGTTCGTTTTTGACCAAGCACTGCAAAATTATCCAAGAGGTGAGGCAAGATAATTAAATAGTATCTACAGTTTGAATCTGGTACAACTTGTAAGTAATTACATGATCTCGTTCGTCACTCGAATCAATGAAGATGGAGAATTTCTTTGATACAACAAATAAATTAAATAATGATGAAAATTTTCTTTTATATAACGAATAAATTAGATGTAACAAAATTTTAGAAAAGAAAAGATTAAACGAAATTAAGCTTAACAAGGAGGCTCTTAATTTCGGTACACAAATTATCTAAAAATAGTGGAAATGACATCAGGTAGGCATGCCCTTTAAAATATATCCACAACTTATAATGTATTTAAAGATTAGCCAATTTCGCTCAAATTCTAGAGTTTAAATCTCAAAACTCAAACTTCATGATATCATGTCCTAAAGTTCGAAAATTGTGTCCTAAAGTTCGAATCTTATGTCCTGAATTTTAAATTAGTGGTTCAAAAATTCAGGACACTTAATCCTGAAGTTTGGGTGAATTGGTTCTTTAAATATATTGTAAATTGTGAATATATTTTAAATAGCGGCCTTAAAAGTGGCTGTTGTTGTACTTCGCCCTAAAAATGTTAACTTGTTTTGGTACCTACTATGGACAAAAATGCACTCTTCTTCTCTCTTTTTGTCTCGCACTATATACAGGTTCAAATACAATCCCTATCTAAAATTGTCTTTACACAAATAACCAACTAGATTTACTGTCTGTTTTTTTAGTCAATATACATAAATTATACACGATATATGTAAGCGGCCAGGTGGGCAATTATTTAAGTTAATTCTTTATTTCTTTTTTTATAAAAAATCATATTCTTAAATAAGTTAGATCATGGAGCTAAAAAGTTTATTAATTAGGGAAAAGAATCTATCCAAAAATAACAATTAGGTCATGCACTTTATCCCAACATCATGTAGGGGTGTTCATGGTTCGGTTTGGATCGGTGTTTTCCTAAAAAGAAACCAAACCAAGTAAGTCGGTTTTTCTCGATTCGGTTTATGTCGGTTTTTTCGGTTATTTATCGATTTTTCTTAAATATAAGACATACACTACCAAACACATATTCCGGCGATCACATTTTCAATGTAACACTATCAAATCAATTGCCCTTTGAGAAATCTATTATTTACCAAAATATATTGATGGTAATTGAATTAAATAGTGATGAATAATTTAAGGACTCAATTAAAAATTTGTTATTTTTAACACTAAATGGATTCTTACACTAAACAAAAACTACCAATCAAACTAGAATGTAAAGGTAAAGAACTATATTAAAAGTGCAAACTATTAAGTAACATTTACCATAAATTTTTTGAAACTTTGTATAACAATATACATATATATAGGTGTAATAATAAATTTAAAATAGCTACTCCTATAGTCGGTTTGGTTCGGTTTTTTTCTGATTAAAACCAAAACTAAACCAAATTTGATCGGTTTTTAAAATTCAAAACCAAAACCAAACCAAACCAAAAAGTATCGATTTTTTTGATCGATTTGATTTGGTTTTCGGTTTGGTTCGGTTTTTCGGATTTTTATGAACACCCCTACCTACATGACTCACCGTTCAATTTAAAAGTGAGAAAGGTCCAAAAGTTGGATGCCCGCTATAGTGCTATTCTAGGGTTGACGAGAAGTTGTAAAGTGTCAGCTCCAGGCCAGCAATACACCAAAAATACTATACTACTCTATATTTAGTAGAACCTACAAAAGTGCAAGCTAGGATTGACCAGGTTCAATGAACCTGTAAAAAGAATATGTCTTGAAATAATAGCCCTCCAATATTCCATTTAATTTGCACGTTGAGAATTTTATAAAAAGACGCTCTGATTGATGAGGTGAACAAATTCAAACACAAAGGTCTTACCTTGTCTTTGTTTATATATATAATTACTCCAATGGATGTAACGATTCAATTGGTTAATTTTGAGTCATGTAGGTTTATTCAGTGATTTGTAATTTGCGGGTATGAAATGGCTTCAATTTCGAAGGATTCGCCATTTTTTGTGCCATTCTTTATTATCAAATTAAACTCTCATCTTCGCCAATAACAACTATGATCTAGCTCAGGTATTTTCTCCCATCATTTTAATTTGCTTGCTTTTCTTTCTCTAGACCTAGCTAGTCTTTCCTGATCTCTAATTTTTAATCTGCAAATTCTGCATATATTGAAAATTTAGAGAAGGAACCTGCAAATATAATAATATTTTATTCCGTCTTTTTCAATTTATGCGCCTTATCCTCGTTGTAGTCTATTCCAAACAGAATATCATATTACATTTTTATTTTACTCATAATGACACTCTACTATAGGAATAACATGTTTAATTTAAAACCATAAAGTTTAAAAAATATCCTTGATATGTTATACTCATATTTTTTTTAAGCCCATAATACAATTCAAAAATATTGTTTATATTCTAAATATTATTCCTAATTAAATTAAGACAAATAAAATGAAATTGAGGAAATACTTGTAAACAATGATATTTACTTCTGCCAGTAAAAATAAAAGGAATCAATTAAAAAGATTAACTTCTACCAAATCTTTACACGAACTTTGATTAGTCATGTACTTGCACATTAATTCAAACTTTATGACTATTGTATAATTCAACTTTGATTTTTCTAGCACTAAAGAGTTTAACTTAATATATTGATAATGTAACAAACTTATATTATCAAGTCACTTTTAACTTGTAATTTATCATGTTTAATAAGTCACAAATTTGTGTTTGTTACGGAAAGTTATTTATGTATATGTAAAATTTCTTTAGATATACAATCCATGTATATTAATTAGTTAATCTCAACATCAAATTGCTTAATGATTGTTATTGCTATTTTGCCATTTGATACCTAAAAAATATCAATATAGAGATTAGGCAGATGAGGCCGACATTCTTGATAATCTGTTGATTTGCTTATTACTATTATTTCACTAGGTACTGTTAGATTCCATATTTCCATTAGTTAACAGTTTCCGCCACATTATGCAATTGTTATCAAAGGAAGTGAAAAGGAAAAGAATGGTCTCCCTCATGGGAATAGAAACCAAAAATTAAATTAACGTATATTGTCGACTTGTGGTTTGCTTTAGTTTCAATTCAACTATTTTCTTTGTTCATATATATTACTGTATTTATTTACAATTTTACAGCAAATTACACTAAATTGAAAAAAATTGATTAGAGTCGATCTTTAGTTCGCTGACAATATTAATGGTTCCCTTATCTCAATTTCATGAGTGGAAAGAATAATATCAATATTTATCAAGAGAAATAGTACCAAATTAAATCTAGTATAAACATGACATATATTCTTGTCCTTATGCAGGAAGCTGAGCATCTTTATTCTGTGGCTATAGACTCTGAAGATTTCAAGCTATGAAGAGTATTACGTACAATACATTTTAAACATTGAGTTCATGCCTACAAACTCATCTGAAGACCAAAAAAATGTTAAAATTAGGTACTGGTTATGTATCCGATGAAATAGTTGAGGTACACACGGATACTATGGTACAGTTACTGTTATTGATGAGTTCCCCTGTAAACTTCACTGTTATTGTTTTCTCGCAGATAGTTCTCTCTTCTTTCCTCATCCAATAAAAGGATATTCACCTTCTTCATAAATTTAAACAGTTAATGAAAATTCACAGCACCTTGTAACTCCTCGTTGATTTGCTTTAATTTTCCCCTTTACTCGTTTAAGCTAGTTTACTTTTTTCCTTTTATTTAGTTGCTTATTTACTTCCATTAAGGTGACTCTATGGTCGTATGTTGTTTTAACTGTCACCTTCTTTAACGACATCAGCACTCAACATTCAGGGGAAATATATATTTTCCCTGAAATATCTTCCCATAAAACCGTTCCTCCATTTAAAGAACATGGTATACAAAGAGCATTTAATATATGCTCCCCATGTCACAACTTATATAATACAATTTGAATTTTTGAGAGTCAAATAAGTTCTTTTTGATTTTGATTTTTTCATATATTTTTTAAATATATGTTGTGAACCATTCTTAATTACTCCATAAGGGCCTATGGGCTAGAAATGGTGAATGAGACTAGTGTAACATATACTACAATCAAAATGTTTATTGATAAGAACTAACACTCTATTACAATTACTAGTAGCCGAACTAACACTCAAATTGCAAGTTAATGATGGAAATATAGAGATTGAGATAGTTGTGGATATAGGAGAAGACACACAGTTAGAAGAAGGGAGATGAGAAGCTTGGAGATGAGAAGCTTCTAATGATGGAAATACAGAAATTGAGATAATTGTGGATATAGGAGAAGACACACAGTTAGAAGAAGGGAGATGAGAAGCTTAGACTATGAGAAAGGGGTTGAGGGGAACAAACATTTTTCTTCACAATACGCATAATCATGTTCTATCTCACTGCTAGTCCTTTTAACCATTTGCAAAATAGGAGTGGATCCCAAATAAAACTCTCCAATATTTTTTCAGCCCAATAATCTCAACTGACTCTGTCTCATTCACCATTTCTAGCCCATAGGCCCTTACGGAGTAAGAATGGTTCACAACAATATATTTGTTAATTATTGTAACTTATATTATTGTTTATCTAGTTTCCACAAGATCTTATGTCCGAATTTGCAATCACAATTAGAAATTTAACTCTCAAAATTCGACCTCTATCACATAATCTGGTAAGGAGGGAGTATATTTTAGCAATTGCAATATTCTGGTTTGTTTCCTGATTTGTTTTGTATTGGAATTCTCTAATCCGGGCTTTTCTGACCCAGAACGAATACGAAGATATAGTTTCTTGACAGGTCAAAGTAAAAAATAGCCAGATCTAACACTAGTAATTGAAAAATAGCCACAATTTCAAAAGTAATCGAAATTTATTCACTTTTCATGTAAAGATAAATCTGCACAAAAACAATGTTCAAAATCCGGAAATCTTCTAATATTTTATGCCGGAGTTCAATTTTTTTACATATGAACTTTCAGCATAATATGTTGGAATCTTATAATTGCTAGAGCTCCATCATAATATGATGGAAGTTTATATGTACGAGCTCCATAATCCAGCATATTATGATGAAACTCCAGCAATTATAAAATTCCAACATATTATGCCGGAAGTTTATACGGAGGAGCTCCATAATCCAACTTATATATTATGCCAGAACTTTCCTTGTTTCAGCAAAACAATGACTATTTTTCAATAATTTTGCAAACACCAGCTATTTTTCAAGGGAGGAATTCAAAAATAGCCAGATTTACAAGTGGTCATTCAAAAATAGCTAGAGTTTCAAAAGTAATCGAAATTTAGCCACTTTTCATGTAAAGATAAATCTGAACGAAAATACTGTTCAAAATTCGAAAAAATACTGCAGTATAATATACTGGAGTTCCAGTATACTTATGCTGGGAACTCCAATATATTTATAATATACTGGAGTTTCAGCATAACATACTGGAAATTGGAGCACCGGTGCTCTAATCTCCAGTATATTATACTAGAACTTTTCGGGTGTTGAAGTTCCAGCATAATATGCTGGAAGTTCATACACAGGTGCACCGATCTCCAGTATATTATGTTGGAACTTTCCGTGTTATAGCAAAATAGTGGCTATTTTTCACTGACTTTGCAAATGCTGGCTATTTTTTAGTGACCAGTCCGCAAACTAGCTAGCCCGTGTTATTTTTACATTTTTCAATTTCAATGAGATTTTTACATTCCTATGCCATATAGTAAACTACATTACCCTTCATGCTTAACTTTTAATATAATTACCTTTTATATACCTAATTACCATTTATGTACCATTTTAGGATCTTAATGGTATTAATTAGTCTCCTAATTATTCATGTCAGAACATATTCTCTCTCTTGCTATGCTCTCGGCGTAGGTTAAGCTAACCTGCACCGACCTTGGCAGCCATGGCTAAGAAGAGAGGTAGGCCATTCAAAAACCCACCGCTTGTTACAATTGGAAGCTCTGTAAGTGCTACAGTCATCGCTGATACTATAGAATGCGGCAGTACTCAACAAATTACAACTCCAACTGGGCCACCTTTCACGATCAAATCTCTAGAAGGGGGGAATGTTAGTGCTCATATAGGTTTGTTGAAAAAGCTGGAACTAAGTGCTAATCCTTCAATTACTCAAGGAAACTCAAGTAACTCTGGGGAGAAGACGATCAATAGAGAGACCAATACATGCACTGACCCAATTGAGATTAATCAGCCTCGAACTAAATCAATTGCAGAGGAGAAACTTAGTTCGTCTTGGGTGAAACTCTTTGCGGGGAATAGATCTGCCGAAAATGGTATGACCTTATCATATATTGCTCCTGAAGTAGTGGATGGTCAATTTGCGGTGAATTTAGATAAAGAGGAGGTAGAAAATGAGACGGAAAAGTGGAAGAAGGCTCTAATTGTTTATGTAATTGGAGAAACACCAGGTTACAATCAGATGTATCGTTATATTTCCCAATACTGGAATAACATANTTTTTTTTTTTTTTTTTTTTTTTTTTTTTTTGCATTCGTTCAAAAGAATAACAACTCCCTATTTTGTTTTATTCATTATCTTTATAAAATATTAATTCAACATTAGTGAAGGCAACAAGAGAAACAATAACAAGGTATCCAAAAACTAAAAGAGGATTTTTAATTCCTTTTAGCTCAGGACTCTTTGTATAGATAGGGAAACAAGATTGAAACTAATGTTTAAATGGATATGATCAAATTAATTTGTTAAAAAATAATAATAACAATTTTGAGAACTTTTATCTTTGAGATTTTTTTTGTTCTATTCTTTTGGCTATAGAAGGTTACTTTGTGAGATTTCCTTGTAGAATTTTCTACTTTTTATATATATATTCTGCATGAATCCTCTTTCTTGGAAATAAGCCTTCTTTTTAAAGAAACATATACGTATGAGCTCTTGCATAATTAAATTTCTAGAAATAATCAATAATGTTGGCTCTTTTGACGTTTTTCAAAGTGAAAAAGGTCCTTCCTATTCTTCCTAAAGTTGAAGACTTCATACGTGCTGGTGTTGGGAATGAGATCTCTTCAATATAATATTCTGGCGCTTTAATTTTCTATTTTATTAGTGAAGTTAATTTAAATTATTTTTATATTCATTAAAATACACACTATTGATATTATGCAGAATCCTGACGGTTATATATGTAGGAAATTCTAGATTTCAACAACTTACCAGCAAGAAATAATCCGTGGAAAAAAGTGACCGCGAAAAATTTCGACAGCCAATCATCACTCATTCGACGACCATTTCGGATGAAAAAGGACTTCCTAATGTACTATTTTGCACTCAGTAAATTTTTAATAAAAAATTGATTTTCTAATGACAATGAGCTTAAGAAAAATTCTTGAGCGTTGGCGGATTATGTGTTCTTACTGAAATTAAAAAGGAAGCATGATAACTTGTGAAATTCAAGTAATAAAATCATAATGTTGGAATGAATTTTAAGTTGGATATATTGACTGAGATGATCGAGGACTTCTATGGGTAGAGTTTCTTCCTTTATATTAGATAAGTTAAATATGATCAACAATCATCATTCTCAAACTTATACTTTTTTCTATTATAACACAAACACAAAGTTTTAATATAATAAATACATAACTTTTAGGTTTCTCTCTCTAGCTATGCTCTCGGCGTAGGTTAAGCTAACCTGCACCGACCTTGGCAGCCATGGCTAAGAAGAGAGGTAGGCCATTCAAAAACCCACCGCTTGTTACAATTGGAAGCTCTGTAAGTGCTACAGTCATCGCTGATACTATAGAATGCGGCAATACTCAACAAATTTCAACTCCAACTGGGCCACCTTTCACGACCAAATCTCTAGAAGGGGGGAATGTTAGTGCTCATACAGGTTTGTTGAAAAAGCTGGAACTAAGTGCTAATCCTTCAGTTACCCAAGGAAACTCAAGTAACTCTAGGGAGAAGACGATCAATAGAGAGACCAATACATGCACTGACCCAATTGAGATTAATCAGCCTCGAACTGAATCAATTGCAGAGGAGAAACTTAGTTCGTCTTGGGTGAAACTCTTTGCGGGGAATAGATCTGCCGAAAATGGTATGACCTTATCATATATTGCTCCTGAAGTAATGGATGGTCAATTTGTGGTGAATTTAGACAAAGAAGAGGTAGAAAATGAGACGGAAAAATGGAAGAAGGCTCTAATTGTTTATGTAATTGGAGAAACACCAGATTACAATCAGATGTATCGTTATATTTTCCAATACTGGAATAACGTAGCTGAACTAGATTTGTACTTGCATGAAGATGGTTATTACATCGTCAAATTCCTCAACCTAGATGATCTAAGGGAAATTCTGTACGGAGGGCCTTATACCATTAATAGCAAGCCTGTGATTCTCAAGCAATGGTCGCCGGATTTTGACTTCAATGCTGAATTCCTAACAGAGATTCCACTATGGGTGAAATTCCCTAAGCTTCCGATGAACTGCTGGGGAATAAACTCATTGAGTAGGATGGTCAGTACTCTAGGTAATCCCCTGTTTGCTGATCAATGTACCACCAAACAAACTAGAGTATCATATGCTAGAATATTGATTGAGGTAAATGTGACAAAGAAGCTTCCTACTGAAATAACTGTTAAAGATCCGTCTGGTAGGCACTTTCAACAA